TGTTTCATCAATTTGAGACGTGAGGAACCAAAAATACTACCCATACCTCAGGGCCGTAGCGAGAGAAAACTGTTGGAGGGCCTAAAATATGTGTTCCTATACTCATCACGATAGAGAACTGTGTCCAAAGGTGGAATTTTCAAATGCTTTCTTCAAATATCTTTTTTGCTTCAAATATTTTGTGGCCCCTCCCTTTAAAGCAATGATGTATCCACATGTTACGAAAATCACACATACAATTTTTTTCAATTCAATTCAATTTCATTGACAACTTTGCTTTGCCGGGGAAAGGGAAGAAAAATCAATGAAGTATCACAATTTTTGTGACCAAGAGTAGGGGCAAATTTTCCAAAGGCAGTACGGCCCTGTATTTGTCCGAGGGGTAATTCACTCTTGCATAGAGCGTACGAGATATTCCCTAAAAACAAAAGGATTTCCTTGGATTTTCAGATAAAACAATAGGATTTTCCCAAAAAGTGTACGAGATATTCTTGGAGTGATTTGTCCGTCTATACCCACAAAAAACAAAGAGCGATAATCTAATAGCAAGAAATGCTTGGATCTCATAGTTTTCTGACTGTATATAACATTCTGTGATAACCGTTAAAAATTAAATAAATTAAATCAACTTAAACACTATTTGGAACTTCCGTTGAAAGAGCTTTTCTAACTCTATCGATAGGTTTTATAGGTGTCGACATCGACAAGATGGTTTTGACTGTATACGTCAAGATATCAAGCATTTTTGCAAAAACTTAGCTGCAAAAATTAAATGATTTCATTGCAATGGACACTTGAAGAAGCTAGCTAAATAGTAGCATCATTACGCAAGAATTCTATTCTCAGTATACTTATGACACCCTTTCTCCAATTATCCTATTTTTTGTAATTGTCACACCTTCCAATAAGAAAAACGAATGTTCCTATTACGTATTATTTTTATATACACATTGCCATTCGACATAATTCTATGGGCTGCCTTACAGGATTATATACGCCGTGGTTTTGATAAGCAACGTAACCACTTGCCTAAACAATGTTACAACTATGATGCCAATCCTACCACATAAAAACACAGGTATTAAAGCCTTATAATACTCCATGTGGCAATTTTAAATATCATTATATATAAAGGACTTCGATGATGTTTTTGCTGTTTAGGGTATTTGTAAAAACATAGGTATTAAAGCCTTATAATACTCCATGTAGCATATTTAAATATCATGATATATAAAGGACTTTGCCGATGTATTTGCTGTTTAGGGTATTTGTACTTATCGCAACTTCAGACAAGATGTCACCAAATGAAATGTCCAAGCCTTGTGCACATTGTTACACGATATCGAAGTTTGCTTCGGTCAGCCTTGTCCGAAAAAGCGGTCGCTTTTTAGAATTTTTCAATTGGTGGACTATCACATTCTTGACTTTTAAATTACAGGCCAGTGACCCATATGAAAGAGTTTTGCAGTAAACATGTTTGGGAGACACTAAGCATGTTAAGGATCATAGATCATTTACATTGCATCTAAATGAATTGGATTTGCGAAGACTAAAGACGGGGAAATTAAATAACAAGCTTTCATATATTCTTCCCTTTTCCGCGACCTAGTGGTTTAACTTTCCATCTTACAACTTATTTTTCCAGACACAAAATAATTTACAGAAACGAGCGATCCAAAAAATCGTTTTCCTAAATGATGGTTCCATGGAAACGAGGTATATATTTGACTCAATGTTCTAAAATACACCTTACTGATTTCTAGCGGCTTATGGATGGGTTGAAATTTAATTGAAGGTCTTTGCGCTCTCAGCTGCATAATGGCACACCAAAGAAGGATAACCTGCTTTGTGAAATGTGCCGTGGACGTTATAAAGACAGCGTTGGACAGTTCTTGGGATTAGAGCGAGCAGAGTATACGAAGAAGTTAGTGATTTTTCATAAGCATGTGATGTAGGTTCCAGCTGAGAAAAAAAGCAGTTAAACGCATATCGGGAAGAACACAGAAAGCTTGACCGCCACTGTTCAAGAAGTAGAGAGTTAAATCTGGACAAAGAGGCGTTTCAAAGAACCAAGAGGCAACAGTCAGCATTCACATCCCGGGGAGGGGGGCATAACGTCCCCCAAGAATGCTTCTAGTAAGAATCAGAAGATCCCACAGGTTTAAAGGTAGCCCAAAGGGAGGCATTACGAAGGGTGGCCCTTATAGAGAAAAGGAAGGGTGGCCCTGGGTCTGATCGCATCCCAGCATTCCTTTCCAGTCCATCACTGATAATTTTTAGGGCACTCATCATTTCTTCCAATGCAAGTGGCTTAATGAAACGGAATGCACTTGTTATTTTCGGTACTTTGTTCTGTTGTGGTCACCCATATCATATAGAAGTACGGTGACATTATTTATCAGCAAGGGTAGGATCTGAACATTTTCTACCTGTATGTAATTGTATAAAATGTATCTAAAGATATGTGACACCAAACAAAATTGCCTGACTGGCACAATATTTGGCTGATATTGATCAAGATTATGGAGTGGAGGCAGCTTTGTGGAGCGAAAATGAGACCATTTGCCAAACACGAAAAACTTGCGCTGGGAGAACTGTCATACTAAAGAGCAAAACATTTCTGTTTTGGTGATACAATTTTTGATTGGTCTTTCAAACTGACGGCAAATTGTAAAGCTGACTTTGTGTGAGGTCAGGTCACACAGCAATGTCCTCAATCATACATATATTAATGCACAATATAATGTTTATGATTTAATTGCATCTCTTTATTGCTGGGTAAATGGTTTCCGATTTGCCAACTACCTTAAAGTAATAAGTAACTTCCTGCCGAAACATTTATATGTTTTATTAAATTATTAATGCGATATGAAACGGAACTGCATAGATTCTAGCACTAATTAATGGCTTCTCTCCCGAATATTTGAATTCTTCCACAAAAATGACCACCATTGTATCAATTTCACGTTTATTATCCAGGAAGTGAAAACATGGGGTTAACTTGAACAGAGGAATCCTAAACAAGGCCTGGCTCGCGGCTATGGAAAGCAACAAACAGAACAGAGATCAATCCGGATTTAAGTCTTCAGTAGGGCTAGTTGTACCTATTACTTTGAATAGTCTTAAGAGCGAAGAGCAAGACAGAAATGTCGTACCAATCGTAGCGCGAATATGAACTGACTAACCATTCTTAATTGACTAAAGGTTCTGTATAAGTGAAAGCGAGGTTAGCATAATGTCACGTGATATACAGTCTTGCTACAAAACTGCAATATTTGCAAAATAATAGAGTTGGAACGCCTCTCCCAGATGGCATGTAAACTGATAGAGCCAGTCTAAAACTACCTTCACAATGTATCACTGTTGCTTCAAAAATTGTTACCCCTTACCAATGTACACTGCTTATTTATTTTCAAAATACCTTCTTACAGCGTTCCGTGACAATGTTTTGCCTTCAGCAGCAAAACGGTATACAATATATTGTTATGTAGATGGGTGTGTTCGCCTAGTACAAAGGGGTTCCTTAATGGCTTTTTCATACAGGCACCGCTACTGATTGAGTCTTGCCACTGCCATTATTTATATTACATTGCTGTACAACTAGTAATAAAAGCTCGTATTTTTTGACTGACAACTAACATCATAATTTGTGCAACAACGATGTCTCCAATTTTCGAGCTGCTTCTCAAAACCATGCTATGTTTCCCATGTCCATGACAGGGAATGATTTTAGCTTCGTACATTTTGAAAATTTCGTACCTTGATATTTCTCAACAGCAAAGTCTACCGGGAATCTATTCAGCGACATAAGACGGACAAAAGAGGCTACAATTCAGAATAAGAATACAGAACATTCTCAGAACCAATACTCCGCACTTAGAAACGTATATTGGACAAAGCGTACGTCATCACACGGTAACATAGGGTACCAAAGTGTGACGTAATCAAAACTTTATTTTTAGAATTTCTTGAATTTGGCCACATAATCTAAAAGAACGGCATAAAATACCTCTCAATATGCAAAATTAGTTAGATATGTTCCAAACTGGGCAAGGTATGGCCAATAGAAGATTTCAAGTTTGCTAACGGATTAATGTTAATCTGACCTGGTTCATAAAGTTATGAACCAAGACCAAATTATATACAGAGGTTTGATAGGACAAGAGCCTGTGCTCAAGTGGCCATATCTCAGCCAATTCGTAAAACCTTTAACTTATTTTGCATATCTAGAGGTATTACATGATGCTCTTTCAGGTTCTGGGATCAAAATTCAAAAGTTCTAAATATGGATTCTTATGACGTCATCACTTCGGTACACGATAGGCCCAGACTTCCGTCTAACTGAGTCTTTATGCATAAAGTGACTCACAATTTAGGAAATGCTATCTTTGTTCACCTTCGTTGCTTACGTAAACTGGGTTATCAGTTTTGTTTAAGAATATTACCAAATAAGGAATTTTGGTTAAGGTTTCTAGAACGCTTAAAAAATATGACCATTTCATTCAAATCGACACCTCGTGTAAGCACGTCAAAGTAACCTTATTTCTATTTTTTCGTAAATACCTTATTCTCTACAATTTTAATGCAAAAACAACTCCCAAATGTTATCACAAACATATCAATATTTGCATATAAATAAGGTCTTAAATAAAATATGCTTGTAGCTGATCATAGAAAGCTGTGTAACAAATAACTAAAAAAATTGTCATGATGGAAGATATCGGGCCTAAATGGGATGTGGCATGTAGAAAGTATAGGTGTTTTAGTTGGGACTCCAATTCTACACTTGTTTCGAGCTTGGTTCTTTGAAATAGATTGGTTTACGTCGCCTTCAGTTTTTCTTAGAAATTAGTCAGATTTGCGTAAGATCTATTGACCGTTTCAAATAAGATGGGAAGGTCACTTTGTTCCTGTTTGCATTTTATATTTTCCGAAAGTTAAGTCACTCACAAGTTAACAATTTCACCCTGAAAGGTCTAGTAAAAGAAAATTATACTCACTGCTACGTATATGAAAGTCCTGTCACCGAAACTGCCAATGCAGGTTCAGAGTACAACCTGCAAATGAATACAAAATAAAATTCATACCGAAATTTACTCAGATGTCCAAATGACAACAAGTGATTTGCCACGTGTATTTGCAGCAAAAGAACAGGGGTTCATGGCCTAACCGCATCAATTTTGCCATTTCAACCAAACTGTTTGGAAAAACGTCGTCATTCTATGAATTCGCTTTACTCACAATACTAATAATGAATTGACACCCGTTGTAGCAATTTTATGTATGCTTCTCTTGACCACTTTTTTACGCAAGAGGCTTGCCAAGTGATGACGTAACAAAAATCTATTTTTAAAATTTTGATGCAGAAATTGCCCTTAATGTAACGAGCGAATTAGGGGGGGGGGGGGGGGAAGGCGACTTCACTATTCCGAGCTCGACCTGTCTCGAAAAGGCTACGTCTACAATAAGATATTTTACAAAGGAAACAAAAGAGAAAAAGTCGAAACTCGGAAAACTCATCTTGCTCGCCCTACCATACCCAAAACTCTGCTCACGAAAATCTCAAAAACCCTACAAAATAACTTTCCAAAAAAACCGTTGCATCTATTCAAAATTGGCTGTGATATAGCCAAGTAAACATCGATTCCTTCCCCGTTTAGTTACTGTTGTTTGCCTATGGCTTATAATTTTTGCATTTTATCGATTGTTTTCACAATAGCTCCTTTAGAAAGTTTCAGCCTTCAACCAGCTGCAGTGTTGATATATCAATCAATATATTTTGAAGAAAAATGATATGGCGAAACGAGAAGAGTTTTGTAACGTTTAACTATATCTTTCGCCAAAAAACACTTTGGTTTATAATATTAACGGGTTTTGGTTAAAAAATGGGGTTGATAATCTTATAAACATTTTATTATCTCTTAAAAGACATAATCTCAAGTTTCTTAAAACTTTTAAAAGTACTTGATTATTATCTGAAATTAAAAGGAAACTGTCGAATTCATCCAAATCAGCAAACGAAAACTGTCGAATTTATTGTCTTGTCCTTCGAGGATAAAACCAGTGGAAATTATGGGGGCTAGGGAGGGGGCAAACTGCTCTACCAAACCCGGTTCGACCTAACACGAAAAGGACATCTAAAACCTGATATTTTGACATGGAAAAGAGAAGTGAAAAGGCTGCTTAAAATCTACTGCATTTGCGCTACCACTCCGAAAAATTTATTTCCACCAGTGGATAAAACCCCATATAACTCGCCTACCACAGGATCGCTTACGTTGGTATACGTTTCATTTCAATGCCCCTTCAGCGCATCCAAAATACCATAAATAACATAAAGCAAGGGTTGGGTTTCCACTGACAGAAAAGTGCCGAACACGGGTTTATAATTTCCTCATGAAAGAAGGGCCTTTTGTTTAGAAAACATTTTAATCGACTCGAAATTCTACTAGATTAACGTTATGACGTAAATGAAAAATGACGTATTTGACGTATGAATGGCGGCGTTCCTTTTACATGCGGTAAGCCGACAAAAAATGATGGATGATAGCAATGGGGTCTTGGGTTTAAAACGCGATAAACTACGCACTCGTTTGAGGAAAATTCTTTTACTTTTTTTCAATTGAAATTATACTAGACTTCAAAACAGGAAAAAAGCTTTGCAGGCGATGGCGAAAAGCCCACCCCCAAAAGAAAACCGGATTGGAACAGAATATATATGTCAGTGCTTTGCATTATTTACATTTTCAACCAAATCTAACATTGTGATTTTTCTTTATCAGCCATCTTTGTTTTACTTTGGTGTTGCTTTATTGTTCTTACATCTAAATAACAAAAAACTTTTCACCTTTCAGGATGTGAGAAACGATCGAATCAATCAGCTGGGGTCTGAAGCTTCGTAAGGAGGGTCAAGGAATCACTCCCAGAAACTAATAATTTATGCATAAATACTTTATTTTAATCGAAAGGCCTCCTTTAGGTTAAAGAGAAGGATATCATAGAACCCTGGACGTCTGGGCAGATTTGGGAGAGGAGCAATGGTACCGTAGAGGCTCGCTCCTCTTTGTTAAAATTAGGAGATTTGGGGGGGGCTGAGCCCCCTCTTAACAAGCCAGAAAACCTTTAACACAAATGCAAGTATAAAGGATGTCATTATGGGTGGGACCTTGGTGTGACTTCTAGAAAATCCCTACAGCACAGCCTCCTTTCCTGGCTTTTTAGAACGGCACCCCTGGAGAAAAGGGGCTCTAAGTGAGTTGGCAAATTCAATGATAGTTTTCCATCGTTATATATGATGCCACATCATAAAAGGGATCGACTGCATTATCATAAGGGCGCGTTCCCGTTTTCATTCAGTGCTGAATTCCTAATGAATATCATGTAAATGAAGACCTGAATAACAGATCTCAATTCATGTTATTATAAAAAACATCATTATGCTTTTCTTGTAAATCTAAAAACCAAAGAGCAAATGTTACGATGTCTAAATTTATTTTGAAGTTTAAAAAATAAACCTCTTTCCGCGTTAAGATAGGATACATATGGGTTTACTCCAGCCAATTATGTATGTTTATTTTTGTAATAGGAGTAAGATCATCCAAAACGGTACATGGCAAAGTTAAGGGGCCTGGTAACTAGTGACGCATATTTAGAGAAGGCTAAAAGAATAATGAGAGGAATTTGTGTGCATCCTTAGTTTAACTAAAGGCTGACAACGCTGAAAAACAAGAAAATGAAATATTGCTTATTTGATACTTTTTTTTAAATATTCCTAGATTTGTACAGCCAACTTTCTGACTTAATGAACTCCATTTTTCACAAATCTATTAGTTTTACATATTCACCATATCATTTTAGTAGATATATCATATGTCTGGGATAAATAAATGAAACATTAGCCCTCATACCACGCAAGCCCATATATTATAGCAGAGCTCATTAAAATATCAAGGAACAAGAGGCAAAACGAAACGAAATTGAACAAAGGGACCTTTACTGCTTACCAGAAATATTCTTGAACAACAGGGATGAAAATCCCATATGAAACGAATACCAAAAGTAGTACATACGTGCACTTTGAAGAGCCCTGCAAGAAAATCAAAGCTATTTAGTATAAAGCCATGTAACTTTACTTGATGTTGAGATTAACGAGTTTCGCAAGTTTGACACTCACATCGATAAAATCTGCAAAAAAGGAGCAAAACAATTCAATTACCTAATGCAAATAGCAAAGCATATAAAGAAAAAAGGTTGGATGTTATGTAGCAAAGAAAGTAAGGATATGTACAGCACAGTAAATAGAGAAAAGTAGAGAAAAGTAGAGAAAAGTAGAGAAAAGTAGAGAAAAGTAGAGAAAAGTAGAGAAAAGTAGAGAAAAGTACAGAAAAGTAGAGTAAAGCATAGGAAAGCACTTATGTGAAGGTGTGATCAGGGGTCATATAGGTACGAGCAAAGGGTAAATGCTCTTTCATTGGACAATACTTGTTAAAAAGATATCCAATAGAAATTTTAGCTATTTCACAGCTTAAATCTCTTCTAGCATGGCTAGATGTTAAATGTACAGTAGTCCTGAATATCAGGAAACAGTGAAGTAAGCGATTCATTTAATTGACACTGGGGCAAATTCTCGGGGAAAAGAAAATATTTTTAGAAAAGTTAGCTCAAAACTGAAGAGGATAAATGTGGGAGACAATTTGAACAAGGTTCTGCTCTAAGGAAAACTCTGTCTGTGAAACGGTAACATTTTATCATTTATCAGCTTCATTGTACTGTAATAGCGGGGAGGGGGCTAGAGGGACAGAATCTGAACTGGTCTAAATCTCACGAGGAAATGTTGAGGGAGGGGTATTAGGGCCGACGCTAGTAAAGCTAGGACAGGGTTATTGAAATTATCCGCAAGTATTTCTCGATACGATTCTATGCTTTTGGAACTGCCATTACGTAGCAAAAATTTAGTCATGGGCGTTCTAGATTGTTAGGACGGGCGTTCTTTTTTGGGAAAAGGGCGTTCCCTTCTGTGTATAGGACGTACCCTTAATAAAAAGGCGTGACCCACGCTTGCAAGAAATCAGCGCCATGACGCAAAGTACGCATGCATTGGTCTATTGCATCCTCATTGCACCGTGCAACAACATCAAGTGGTGGGTAATGAGGGTTCCAGCTGGCTGTTGATAGATGTAACACTCGAGGGTAACCCTTGCCGAGCGAGAAAACCTGAGTGGTGTGTCCGGTGTCTCTAGGTATGGGGTGATTTCATATACTAAAAATACATCAAAATATTTTCCTTATTTCTGTCATTTCATAAATCTAAATTGCTTCTCGTGCAGAACACCAGTGGCTGTTGATTGATATGCAATATGTAAGTTATTTCCATTTGCCAATTAAATCATAATAAACTGGTATTGCGGCAGTGCAGAGATCACTAGCGATCGGCGCTCATCAAATGCGAGATTCTTCGGCACATAACGTTACTCTTTAACGTCTAGTCGATGAATGACCGAGAAATTCGCTGTGAACATAACGGATTTGATTAAGATGGAATTCAAATATAGACACAAGCCAACTGGGATGTCCTGCAGTGCAGACAATACGGAAAATCCGGGGATCGGTTTTGATTCAATAATTGGTTTAGAACGGTCTCAGAGTCGATTCGTAACCGGATTTGTTTACCTTCGCTGCCTTCGCTGGACATTTCGGCTCAGAGCCATTTGCCGCCTGCCTTTGGTATGTTTGGAAATGCCTCCGCCCGTTTTGTCCAAGACTCAGCCGTTTCAATGTATGTGAAGACAGTTACTTTCCTTCGGACCCGTCAAAAGCCTAAAGTGTCTTCAGAAGCCGGGAAAAATTATAACAAGCCGTCATGTAACATTAATAACTAATATAAAAGAACATTGATAAATGGATATTCTTGCGATTAATGTGGCGACTTGGCAAAGTTGTATGAGGATAGTCTGCGGCACGACATGGCTATTCGGCCAGGCGACAGCATTAGTGGCACTTTGTGACGGTATAATAAGAGGCAAATGCTTAAGCAGACTGTGCAACTTCTACAAACAAGAACGAATAATGCTTGTTTTTATACATTGCTATCCTCCTTTCAAAACATAAACGAGAGGGGCAAATCACTCCATGAATGGTGAAAATCCTATTGTTTTATGTTGTGTTGCCCTCAAAGATTATGTTCAACTCCCTCGCTCTCCCAAAGTCAGTCGACACAACTACCCACGACCGTTAGAATTGCTCGTCGCGGGTTTTGTAAGTTTTCTCCATTATCAGAAAAATTCCTCCACCACAATTGATCAGAAAAAAATTTGGGAGGGCCCTAGTACTTTAGCCTTGGACGCCCCCGAAGCCTGGTACAGGGTGCAGGACTCATGTAGCATTGGAAAAAAGCCCAAAGCGAAAAAGATCTCTTCAACAATACGAAACGACTGAGGGGCCAAACACCAATCTTTTTGACATCATAGTCAGAAGCCAGGTGTGGAGCCTACAAAAATAAACGCCATAACCAGAAAGAAAATATACAAGTCTTTTGACTTTCTAAACTGATTTAACGATTCATAAACGCCCCTGGCGATTCTTTGATGTCAAAATCAAGCGCTCATCCTACCATCAATACGAGGAACGCTACACAGAAGGCCTCGTTTTGGTACAGTCCACAGCAAAACCTTACAGTCATAAATGAGTAAGTTTACGAATAAAAGGAAAGTTAAATCATAGGTGAGACGGCTTCTCCCTTGCAGGCAATTGCATGTACAGCAATTCCTGCACGGAAAACTAAACAGTGAAAAATTGTTTACCCATCTCCTTAGAAAGGCCGGCAGACAAGGAGAAAGTGAAGCTTGACAGGAATCCTGTCTAAACAAATCGCGCCTTTCACGCTCCAAAATCGAAAGGAATGTAAACGAAATGATATATAAACACTCTCTTGAAAATGGCGTGTTCGGCAAGACTTTTCCTTGAGGCTTCCGGAATGATGGTGGGCTTCTAGCGAATCTATTTCCTAACTAACAAATGCTGGTTACAGCGGATACGCCGCTACAATGACGATTTATTCTTTACAAATATCTTGTATCCCTACATGTCAGCTTGAATGCATTAAAAGTACAGTATAAAATGAGATTGGTCACTCGCAACAAAACTTAAAACGATTTCCGACATTCAAGTTTAACTAAAATGCTCTACAGTAAGCCATAAATTTACAGTTGCACTATAATTGGAAGAAAGTTCAGTATTATTCCAATAACTGGAACCCTAGAAATATTTGTTGATTCAAACAACTTTCATCATTCCCTAAGAGGTTAGTTAAAGTTTTCAGTATAATTCTCCACACTGATATTACAGGGTCATATACTGAAGTGGATTAATTCTATATTTGAAGTTTCAAGAACAAAATAATAACCTCCTGACCCTCTTGTCACTTTATTTACAGTTACATACGCCAACATCCTTTTCCATATTTCCATGAATCGACCATGGGAAATAAGAAAGGAAATTACCACACCATTCAGGATTGTCAACTCTATACACTGGGTGCTAGAATCTCCATTATTTAATCTCAGAATTATAGTTCGAAACTAGTCACAAAAATATTTTTTGAGCGAGGATTCACTCATTCTTTGCCACCGCAGCCGCCTACAGTACCTTATCACCTGTTTCATGAGGCTCTGGTAGCCGCCATTCCGGTATAGGGGAGGGGGGGGGGGCTCAAAGGAGATTCTATTCTTACCTAACAGGTTTTATCCACTTACGATAAATCTTCTATTAAATGGGGGCCAAGAGGGGGCTGTATCTTAAATAGAAGAGGCTAGTAAATTGCATGGACGATAAAGTTGGTGGTTACAATAAAATAATTGCAATGATAGAGCTTCTTTAAAATAAGGCCTGATAAAATTTTTCTAAAGGTTGCTCAATCCTTTGCCCTGTGTTACCAAAACTACCGTAGAATAGACTTATCATATAATAAACTACCATTGAACAGAATCAAAGTAGTGTCTTTTTCTGCTTTTTTGCATTTTCGAATCTCTAAGCTTTCCTTTATTACCATAATCATAAAAACTGGAATCGTTGAGAAGTAATATGAGAATGGGTCAGTTTTGATAGAGAAAGTCAGGGGGTGTAGAGCTGAGCCCCCTTGTTGATGCCGAAAATTGGAAATTTTCTATTTTTACTTTTGTTTTTCCCAACATTTTGTGCAAGAGCCCCTCTGGCTAGTGTTATAGTATTACACCACTGGAGAAAATGGTCTGTCGTGAACAGGGGTGGATCCAGAGCAAATTTGAAGGAGGGGCAGTTAATAGTGGGGGCGCTGAAAAATGTTCAAAAATTGGTTACGAGGGTACGCTGTATACAACAATTTCAGATACCTTTTCAGAATAAAAAACATAACTTTGAGTTAATCCTTGCAGCAAATTAACCTATCGGTCAAAGAACCTTTTTCATCTGATTCTCATTCTTCAAAAGGGGCGCACAATTTCCAAAAAAGGGGCGCCAGACTTGCTTCAACTCGTTGATGGAGGGGCAACTGCCCCTAGTTGCCCCCCTAAATCCACCATGGTCGTGAAAAGTGTTGTGACTGACTCTGCAAGATAAGCCCACAGCGGCGTAAGGACGTTTAGGGCATCTTAGTTCGCTAAACAAGGGCCCCCGATCGAAGGGGACCCATAAAGATATCCAGGTTTTTTTAGAATTCGATCAAGTTGATCTTATTTTCAAAAGTTCTTAAATTTCTTAAATTAGAGTAAGTAGCTTAGATCCCCCTAGTTAATAAGAAAACTAATCATTTTTACGCATTGCCATTTCGTTTGACAGCTTTACCCCTTGGATGGGACATTATTGCAGTCTATAAATGGGGGCCGGCTTATTTTTTTTCCCAAACACCCTGGGTGCCTCCAGAACACCACTAGACCACACTGAAATGTTTTTGTACTTTAGAGGCAATTTTACCTAGAAATTTACAGCAAAGAAAAAACGATTCTTCAAGCTTGAAATCCTGGTCTGAATGAATCGCATTTTTAATGATGAATGTCATCGAGATATTTGAGACACTTCTTGAAATAAAATATGAGATCAACCCTAGATGTCAATCGCACGAGTGTCCAAGAAAGAAAAAAGGTATCTTGTAACCTCATAACAAGTTTATTGTAAGACCTAAAAGATTCAATAACCGACTTCTCATTCCAGTCATGAGTCTTACTATAATTAGAATTAGCCAACATGTTATTCAGATCATTTTTGAGTTGCAGTGAATTTTTTGATCACAGGAAAGCAATGCTTTTCCCAAATCTTTTTAAAACGGCATTCTAGTCTCAAATATCTCGAGAGGGTACTAAAACAAAACAGTGAAACGCCATCAGAATTTGTATTAGAGAATTGTCCAAAAATACTACGGTCTCTATTTCACTGATCATTTTGTCTCTAATTTTTCTTTTAAAAACAAAGTAAACTGTCTGCCACCACAAACACAAATGTTGTCCAAAGTCCACAAAGCTGCCATGGGGGGAATGGAGGAGAAATCAGGGGATTCAGTCTCTGTGGGCAGATTGGAGACCTGCGCTCCTCTTTTCAGCTTTCCATTACACTTTGTTCTATGCGAAAGGTTCTCTGTGATAAAAACGTTTGTATGAAGTGTGTTTAAGAAGTAACACAGAAAATAGGCCAAAACAAACTCCACCCTACTAATGCTTTAGGACAGTACCTCTCTCCATCAGCGTCAACCATACAAATGGCAAATTCTACCACCTTTCTCCTTTGTAACAAATAAGGTATACTGTTACCCTGGGCACCAGATCCTCAGAGAGTCAAATGATTAAGAACGTAGGAAAGAAATTGCGAAGGAGATTGGGAAAGGCTCCCCAAGGTAGTTAACTGTCTGTACACCGGCAAAAAAACCATTCATCTTAAAGACCCTAAAAACATGATCGTCATTCAAAGACTGCGAGGAAGGCCATGACGAAAAGAAAAAACTATGCCATAACCATATCTTATCTTACTCATTTCTGAGGAAAATTTTCAAAATTCGGGGAAACCGTCAGCAGGATAATCACTTTTTGGACTACACCCCCTTCTTTGCGCTGATAAAGGGACCTGTGGGGTGTGAATTCCCCTTGAAAAAACCCCATTGTAAAAACGGGGAGTTTTTTGCCATCTAGGGTTGCTCGGTTGGCAAATTACCAAACTTGTCAGCAAGTAAAGGATTGTTCACCCACTCGGTTGGGAAATGGGACTTTGAATGGGGCTATGTTGCCCTTCTATGTATGGTCTTCAACAAACTGTGCTGCAATTTGAACCATTATTATGACATTTTGAAAACCCAAATGTAGGAATCATATTTTCTCCATGTCATGCAGGAGCTGCAAAAGCTACAAGCCAGACTGAACAGCAAATTCGGTAGGGAATCCACGTGGTATCATCTAGGGACGCTGTCCAGTTCACGTTTCCAATGCTTGCCAATCCTTGCGGCGCCTCGGTTAACCAATTCCTTGCCTTACGTAAAATGGTCACCTTGCAAGGCCTTGGTTTCTTAGATAATCCTGAGACATATCAAGGTTATAAACAGGGCGACTTTTTAACACAGGGCAATCCTAAAGAAAGCTTCTTCTTTCCAGAGGTTGATCCAAGGAAACAAAGAAAGGGTAACATCTGCCAGAAACTGATACTTAAAAGGTTAAATTCTTTTATCTTTGGTAACCTCAAGCCATCAAAATCGAGAAATCAAGTTATATAAAGACACGAGAAGAAGATGGCAAGTGTAATGTGTTGCGAAGAAATCATTAATAAGCCCAAGCAAACACATTAGTGTCTTTACAAAAAGGAGGGATATTGCATATTGTTGAGAAGAAATATAAGATTGTGTAAATTCGTCTGTATCCTATTTGCTTATGATGAATAATTTCAATATTGTTCTAAATTATTAGAACATTTAACACATCGAGTTCTAATGGGTAGACAGAGCAGAGCAGAAAATTGCAAAGTGATATTGCGGAAAAACAATTAGCAAGTGGCGAAATCGACCTAATGCCAGCCAAAGAATTTAGAAAAAGAAATAGTGCTGCAACAACGTTACGCAGCTCAGGTTTTTCACGTCACTATGGGCCTAAAAGCAATAAAATTTGCCACAAAATGAAGCCAGTTTATAAAAATGAAATTAAGCATAAAGGACATCTCTGAAATGTATCATGCAGCGATTGGTTAGATTTAGGATGTGCCTTTACAGCATTAACAACCGAAATAATATATTCAAAACCAACTTTTCTTACTTGAACCTTTTGTGATTACAAAATGTGAAGCTCAGGATGCAAACAGAAGAATATACTCCGCTGCAACCGGAGGATGGGAGATAGAAAGAAAGGCTAGTGCTTTGTTTTTCAGAATATGCGGGACAAAATATCCTCATTCTTTGGTATGTTGAATGATAATTCATTTATTGATTAGTAAGTGCCAATAGAGGTCTCAGTAACATTTTTTGGCATTTAGGAAAACATAATGATGTAAATGATCCCCTTGTTCTACTGTATATTTTACCCAGGCCCCTGGCCTGAGCCCTAGATTCCAGAGCATAAGTCAGGGGTCGGGAGCTCAAAGTTTTCCCCGTAAACTAATCACCATTTTCATGACTTGGTGATTCCCTGTCCTGAGTATATTCTACTTTTCCTATTCTCATAGCTTACGAAGTAAACTCAAGTCCTGCTTATGAAAGGGAAAATACACAAATTTCCGCCGACTAGTTTCCTCAGAATACAGCGCTGACTGCTAACTGTTACATATAGTAGGGGCGCTGGGTGGGAGCACTGGGTGGGGGCACTGGGTGGGAGCACTGGGTGGAGCACCCATGTTAACATATGTTTACACATATTATGTATACAAGATCTCTTGTGTGTTTGTCGCCTATTTTTTTCTTTTCAATCTTTCTTTACCACTGGCTATTGGCATTAATTGTGATTTGATAGGCTGTGGAACTCTATTGAGAAAAACTTCATTTTTTGAATGCAAAAGTGTATGTTTAACCAAGGGCTCCGACACATGTCGGAAAGTGGGGGGTCCCGTGAAAATCTATCACCCTTAACACAGGATTTTAAAATCTTGCAAAAACATGGGATCATGACACCCCGCACACCCCCTCCCCCCCGGTCGGAGCATAGTGGTCGGAGGCCCAGTTAACATGAGAGAAGCTTCAATTTCAATACATTTTGTTCAGGCTTATAACTTTTGGGGGAGCTCTTGATACGCTGAAAGGGGTCAGGAACGTAGCAAAGGTTTCTTATTTCGGTGGCCTTTCGGACAGTACCACTGGTCAAATGGTACAACTTGCTACTGAAAAACTTGCTATCACTTACTATCTCTAATAACATTTAAATGGTTTGATCATTTGTGTAGTGTATCTAATTTTAGCCTAGTTTGGTTTTGCCTAAACAAGATTATAACAGTTATTTTTAGTTTATACCAGTTTATTTTAGTTTCCGGTTGTGTTGTGATAATACTCGGATTTGCCATTCAAAACCTATCCACAAGTCATGCGCGCATATGATTTCAGTGACAAAGATTGACAGGGGCATAGAGGGTGGTACGGGTGCGAAAACGGCCTAGGTGAATTTCCCTTACAAGAATTGCAAGATTCTCTATAAAAAATAAATTTTTCGTTTATGTAATGTTTACTTTTAATTTTATCACACCCAACTGCATCTATTCCATTCAAATAAAGACAATTTCCAATGCATTTGAAAAGCAAGTAACCTTCAAATCTGTGACCTCGAATTACAAAACAAAGTACACAAAAATCTATCGAAATTAGGTGAATCATTCTTTTAAAAAAAGCTTTTGATAACAGACTCAAAATATTAAGAAATTATTCCACTTGAAATATTTTTAGAAGAAATGATGCTGATGTTTATATTTTACCAACAAAATACAACTATAACAAGATAACAAACGAACTATATTGAGATTTCATTATGTTCTGATCGGAATTTAAATCAAAAGCATTTCAGTTGTTTATTTTGCTTTTACTCCTCTACTAACCCCAAACTTTAAAAAACTTTCAGGGACTCTGAAAATTCTAATTGGCCATGCAAGTTAAAAATCCTTCAATACTCGGTGAATTGTAAGCTTGAAATTAAATCTAGGAACGAAGGAACGACCAACTTGGTGAAAGAACTGCATAAAACTGTCGACGCAATTTCTTTGAGCTGGTCATTCATCTGAGATTTTAAAGCACGGTTTGATAAAATTCCTAAATTTCTTTTTTCTCCGTTTAGGCGATTATTTAATAAGCACCCAATAAAAGCTGCATGAAATCAGCTTTCTTAAAAGTGTGTTCTCGCAAAGTTTACTTCGAAATTTACTCACGCAAATAACTGGGTTTGATAGCACTAAAAGTTTACCACACAGCTGCGACACCTAACTACTCAAAAACTTATGATAACCAAAAGAGAGCAAGAAGGAATTAATTTTCGCATTGAACTGACAAATTGTGCCGACAGCAATGGCGTCTCGCTATATGACGCAGTTAAAGAGCCTCATTCATTCTCTTTTCCTCCTCAGGAATTTTCCTTCACATCATCAGCTGTTGCAAAATTCTGAAGGCACACAAAGGGATCGTCGGCTTCATTTATAAATACAATTTGAATGACAGCACTTGTAGTATTCGCCTTCCCATTTGGTTGTATTGTAATAAAATTGTATGGATTCCAATGGCAACTGTTTTGAGGATTCCAGGGGTTCTACATTCGTTGACGTTTTCTCTGCTATGAATGAGCAGCACACACTGGCAGCATTGTTTGCAAACTTTCGGTAGGCCGTCTTCAAAATCGCACTAACGTATTGTTCCCCAATTATCCAATTTTCTTTCGCAATCGAGGTCTTTCAAATTAGAAAACAAATCGCAGAACAGAACCAAATCATAATATATTTTAATCGACGTTTTGAGTGCAAGACACGTGAGCAAAACCAGTGAAAAAATCGAATGTGCAATATAACGCCAACCCATCGAGGGGTTGGGATTCTCAAAGGGAACTTGCTAATATAGATTTCATACATTTGAAATCGGGTGGCGTGGCGTGACTTAAAATTAGCAAGGGGGGATCAAAACAAATCAAATTACTGCCAAAACTCAATTTCCTTAACGAGAATATTGTTTACATCAGAGACATTGAATCAAAAGTAAAATTTGGCTGACAACTCCAGATCTTATAGATGGTGCCAAGAAAAATTCTTGTGTACAGATCAAATCCCTCCAAGATCTGAAAAATCGTACAACACAAGCTCAGAACAGAAAAGAGTGGAGCAAAAATAAAAAGTTAGTTTGTTTCAAATCGAACCATCAATAAGGAAGAAGAAAAACTCAAGATTACTTTTTGTAGTCGTCGAAGGTAGAGGGCCTTTGAATGCTTCCTCGTTCTTATAACTGTAGAAGATCAAATAATGCCTCAAGGAGACCAATGCGTTCCGATCGAATCGATTACAAAAAAAGTTAGGCCCTCTCCTGTTTCGCCGTTTCTAACAGAAATCCTCGAATTACCCATTACAAAGTGAATGTCAAGACCAAAGCAATTCAAAAATAGGATATGGTATAACAGGAATACAAAAGAAGGCCTAAAGACGAATGCAATGAGGACTAGGATGTTCGTAAACTGTTAAAATCAAAACCAAGACCATCTATACTCAGGCGAAAATTCGAAAAACGCAAAATCTTTTCGATATAAAACAAGAATCAAAACGAAAAACTTTGAAGGCAGAATGAGATCAAACGAAGTGATGATGAGCACAGGGAGCTCGGAGGCATAGTTTTCATTCCAACAGTTAAATTGCAATTTTTTATTTGGGCACACTGAGAATAAAATTTGTTCAACAAAAGCAACAAGAAATGACCATTTTAGGTATTTTCAATTTAAACGGCCACCATGCTACACATATGATTGATTTTAATCAAAAAAATGTTCCTAGCACTTAAAAATCTTCTGTTCCCCCATGGTATTGGAAACGCCTGAAGGCTTGGCTATATCAATTTCTAATTTTCTATATTAATTTTATAAACAATACTTAGCCACTTTCTATAAAACTGCCATACCCTGTTAACTCTAATTCTTTCGAAAAATGATAAAATTAACACAGAGAGAAAAACCAGAATCAGTGCAACAATGAATTGTATAGATTTTTCAAATCCATTCACTCGTTCGTTTTATTTACTCTGATGAACCCTGTATGGCGGGGCGAAATATTAGTATATTCTTTAAATTCAATTTATTTTGAGAATTTTATTTCGTGACATTGGATTCTCGTCGTCGTATTGCTTTGTTCCTGTATATCTTTCAATGAATTGTAGGGCCACACAAATAGAGACCTCTAACCTGTGCCAGGGCTTCTCACCCCAACCCTTGGCATCCAATTAGACTATGGCATTGTACTTTTAAACTCTGATAAATCACGGGACCAAATGCAGTTTCCTGTCATTGTAAAAAATCTAGGAGCCATAGAACAGCCCATTTCACATTGGGTAAAAAGGCCACCCCAAAAATTCCAGATATCTTAGATTTTGGCTATTCCTGATAAGCTGCAATGTCACATTATGTCCCTAACCAGTATTCGTCTTCTTATAAGGATAATGACCTTGGGTAAGCTTAAAAGTTTTGGAAAAGTCTAAGGGTTAATTGGTTTAAGATGTGTAGAATTTTTGCATGGAAACCACTGAAAAACATCCAAAAGCTTCCTTAACTGAATCTCTTTGACATCAAAGAGGATAAGTTGCTTTGACAAAAGTATTGTTAAACAGACCATAAATAAACTGGGGACAGATCTTGCTGTTGGTTCAGAGCAGTTCAGTCTTATTTATAGTTGAGACATACAATTGCTCAATAGCACTTCAACCCATTGATTCAAAAAAGGCAGAAACTAGATTCAGAGATGTGTTTATTAACAGTTCACGAAATTTATACTTAGATATCAGGGACATGGGGGGGGGCTGGGGCATGTTTCCCCTTTCCAGAAACAAGACATCTATTTACAGCTCATGAAGGTGACCTTGATTTACCTACATTTGCCCCCCCCCCACCTACTTTAGAACTGTTTCCTACTTATATGGCAAAAATGATTGCACAAGCATTGGTTTCAAATTTGAGCCATGTCTCTGTTACTTCTAGCATTAAAACTACTTGCTCATAAATATATCTGCATACCTCATATTGGCACACATATGGTGAATTTCAATGAATTTCTTATTCAAAAATTGCACAGGGTGGTTTTAAATGGTTCAGAGGATATGAACTGAAGTGAGTATGCAGAAGAAACCAACATAACTTTATGTATGAATATATCTATCATTCAGTCTATATATAAATATGGTTTATCAGTAGAACTGTCAACAAAATCTTCTTTTCAACATTGTACTTTGCAGAATTACAAATTTCTTTACAATACGTAATAATTTTGTGTGCTTACAAATGGTTCTGGAATGGATATTTACAAACATATACAAAAATGTTTAACTGCAACGAACATATAAACTTGGGTGTAGAGGAATGTTTGTTACTGAAAAATATCATGGAGCATTAGACAAGAGGGGCGGCCATTATGGATGATAGAAAAAATGATCAAAGGTTACAAAAACAAATGGACAAAACTAAAACGTTGCCTCTAAGTTGTGGATATCCCATTCGGAGAAATCATTGTTTCAAAAGTCGGTACCATTCATATGAAGCACAGCGGAGAGCTGTGGTAAATGAGAAATAAGAATCACGTGATACAGCCCTGGAGTTTGGAATAAAAACTTTTGATTATACTGTCGTTTTTAGCCGTGAATCCCTTTGAATGAAGTATACTAAAAAGAGAAACATAGGTTTCCACATTTTTTTTACGAGCAGCGAAAACACATTAACGGCATTTCATTCCGGGGAAACCCCACAACTTAGTTGCTAGTCTCTTGCATTTATTTTGAAAAGGGCATTTCGTTTTTGATATGATTTCATCACAATAATGCTAATAAATAAATGGGAAATGAGCACTAAAGGCACATCCAGGTGTATTTTCAAAGCTGAAGTTCTCGTCTTACAGAAACAGGAGATCAGGCGCTGCGGTCTTCCAATTCTCGTTTTTCTTGCATAATGATTGCAAGTTATAAATCTCAGATGACAAAATGGTTCCTTGAATAATTCACCTAGCTGTCTGAGTATTTAAAATTATGATAAATGAGGGTTAACTTAGAACAAATCACTGTTGCTTATAATAGATGCGTCTTGGGGAATGCTTTTGCGTGCAAGAGTCTGCTAGAGAACGTATCTTTGTTTAACAGATTAAATAAAAATCTGTCATGTACATTTTCTAAAAACTACAATCCTTAGTTTGATAATAAACAAGAAAAATTCCGATAATCTTATTGGTGTGGTTTTATTTGTAAACTCGCTGGTGGCAATAACGAAGTCACCCCCAGCGGGCATGGCCGCAGCCGTATGCCTGAAAAATCACTGCAGATTATTATCGAAGTGGTTCGCAATGAGATTCATCTTAACAGACTCTTGCATTTCCATTTAAAATATTCAATAAAAACGATTACAGTTAGGTTAGAGGTTGTTGCTATAAGAGAGTTGTCGTCTCTCTTGGCCGTCTCTGTTCCGTCTTTCTGTATCTCACATTTAAGTTACTATCCCTCATTCCTTTATCGTTGTTATTTTTGCATTTTCGGCATAAATTCAAGCATCCTTTCGCGGGTAGATAACAAAATATACATGGCATTAAACATGCCAATATCGATAAACACGTCCATCTTTTCAGAACACTTCCCTTTGTGCCGGTACACGAACACACATTATCAACAGTTTCATCATCGTCGTCTGTACAGTGATAAAATATTCCTTTAACGCAAATCATACAAGTACAATAATCGATAATTTTTTCTGGCTGAGTTCTAATAACACGCGTTTTTGTCGTAGACTCGCTTATACCATCTAATTCCACCCATGTGTCGAATTTTCTTTCTCCCAATGAATGAGAGCTGCTTTGTGGTTTGGGGATTTCATCCCCAAGAGTTGCGAATTTCGAAGCAAATTCGCGTAACTGTTCGCTATCGTTCTTTCGATTAAACGATATTCCTACCGTTGATCTGCAAAACGAATGTTTATCCTTTGAACTCTGGTCAGCACTAATGTAACAGTACTCCCCTTCAAAACGCTTTTTATCCAAATCGCTTAGCTGTGTTTGTGGCCTTTTATAAAGCGGTGGATAAGTTTGATTTCTGTTTTTCTCAACCGAAGTTTCAACTTGTTTAATATCCGATGCCAGTTTGGCAATGTTTTTGAGCGATCTGCTCGATTTAACTGTCCTTCTCCATTCAGAAACTTGTAACGAGTTGCCCTGGACCTTTGGTACAAGAAAGTAGTGTTCCTCTCCCAAATCGTCATCATACCTACTGAAAGGATCATAATTTTGCTTCTGTTTCGTGCGAAGTTCATTCATTCGAGTATATTTGTTCGTCAGTCCAAATCCGTCCGATGATCTTGTCGAAGACTCGATCACAGATTGATCTATCGAACCACTTTCTCTCCGATAAGGCTTCACCAAGCCAGGGTACTCTACACTGCGCTGATAGCAGAGGGCATTCTCTCCCATTGCCGGTCACCTTCCCGTTGAAAACATCAAAGCTAGGCCAAATGAGTAGCGCTTCGGTTCAGTTGCTTCTGACCTCAAACAATTCAGCGAGCTTTAGTAAAATTCTACGGTTAATGACTCCTTAGGGGTCGCTGTGGACAAATATAACGGCTGCAATAAATTCTCTCCGTGGACTGAAAAGCAACATAAACAAAACATGCAGATAGAACTCCAGCAATCAAGACACTCTGAACTACCAAGTCAAACGCGTCAATAAGTCCTTAGCTTGTCAATCTGCTGCCAAAACTCCGTACCCAATGACCGAGACAAAATAACCTTGCTTTTCGCTTCATAAGACTCTAACTGTCTCTATGTTTCCTTCTCCACAACCGAGCTTCACCTATCCTGTTATTCATTCTCAACTCGGCGGCTGGTAAATTCTGCTCTCTTGCTCATACTAAATCAGTGCTGATCGCCCGGACGTTTTCCACGATTTGACCAATAGCCCGAGACTCAGAAATCCGGTCTGTTCACACAAACGGAAACAGTGGAATTTGCGTGTGGCTCTTCCGGTTAAATGATTATACTTTCTTGTCAAATGAAATAATTATTTTGCAACGGATTCTTTCTGAGTATGTGAGGTTTCTATCTTTCAAATTGCTTAGTTTATAAACTGTACTCTCGGGGGCTTAAAGACAATATATACAGGCAGCAAAGGTCAATTATTATTATAATTATCACGGCCTCATTGTTCGGCGCTCTGCCCTTATATTGAATAGCCTCATTCCCTGTCCGGTCCGCATGAGAATACCGGATAACCTTGACGTAAAGTCATTTCATCTTGTTTTTAACTACTCAGTCACTCGCATCCTCGAGGGGAAACCAGCTTATACTTATTGAATTGCCTCTGAGCGCCGTTTCCTCCAATCTTGTGTTCACAGAACAATGGCACAATAGAAGGGAAACTTTATAGAGCTTAATGACGCTTAATTCATTTTCATGCAAAACTCCTCTCGACCAGTAATGCTTAGAAATACTCACGTCCATCAAATTGGTATCTTTTGTTGGCCTGTGTGTGTATATTTGCTACCGGATGCAAAAAGAAAGAAAATATTTGATCGCCTTTCTATTCTGTTGTAACAGGCTTGTAAAGCGAACAGAAGATTGTATAATAGATTTTGTTTGAGATTTAAAAACAGCAAGTGGATCTCTGTTATGCCCCTTCATAAAGCCACAGAGATTACATCCGTTCTCTCACTGATGAGGGCTGCGTGATATTATGAATTCCTCTCGATTTTCAAAACCACATTACGCTTATAACGTACCAGAGAGTCCTCGTTTTGCTTTAACGAGAGTTCAACCAACAACAGAGAAAAAGAAAAATATATGTGGGGTGACAATTAAACATGCACAGGTTGCATGAAAATTCTTCTAGTTCAAGTCACTAAGAAACAGCACCGTTGTTAGAAAAAAAAACAGGAACAGTACTTTTGGCTGATACTTTTTTTCAGACAAACTGGCGCCTCGGCAAATACGATATCCGGCCTGAGTGCAAGTGTTGTACATTAAGATTCGCTGCGGAAGGTTAACTGAGGAGAAGAATCGATAACCTCTTCCGAAAAACTCTATTCCCGGCTGTTGAAAGTTTCCGTGGCTACCGAAGGAAGCCACAAGGAGTTGCAAATAAAGTGATTCTCGCCAAGGTTGAACCGCAAAGTGTTCTGGGCCTCGCATAAGGATAAAAGCTACCCGAAATAGACGGAAAGTCGATTGTAAGCCATGGTTGACCAGATTGTTTAATCTTTCCACCTATTTTGCATAATTCCTGTGCATAAGTGTATTAGTATTTTAGTTTTCTTTTAAAATGACCCCTTAAAAGTTGTTGTTTTTACACGCACATAAACTGACTTCGTGAGGCAGTTCTGAAAAAATGCAAAACGCTACATAATTGAACGAAATCCTCGTAGAAGTCCCCAGAGTCTTCTGAAATATGGTTGAAGTAACATCACACCGCAGAAATCACGCGGAAAAAGTGATACATGACCTGAACATGGCGCGAAATTTCAAACGTAAATGGAGAACAGAGAGAAATGATAACTGATCACGTGCTATTTATTAGAGAAGGAAAGAGCCTAGACAAAGAAAGCGAATTATTACCGAAAAATATCATAAAATTTCTTATCGATAAGAGCGTTCGAAGTGATTTGAACACAGGCTTCGAATATAGGATTAAAAATAAAAAACTGCATGGGCTCTGACATAGGAATTAGGGGAGGCCAAGGGAAATTTGCAAAAAGTAGTGGGGCCATGGCATCCCGACAGCCCCCCCCCCCTTCGTACGGGGCCCTGAACTGCGTACAATTTGAGAATTTGAGTTAAGTAGAGAAGAAGCTATGGACTGGCATTGTCACAGCTGAATATTTTTTCCAACTGGCTTTCTTAATTGAAAATTCAACCAAATGTCACTGTTACCTTCAACTTAATTTCTACAAAAATAACTTTTCCCGCTAGATCTTATTATTGGGATGCTCCATGAATGAAAATAAAATAACGGCCAACGATGAACCTTTCTCTTCTTTTTTGAAGAAAAAGTTAGAGCCTAGAAGCAAGGCGATAATGCAGTCAAAAACACAAGGGAGGGCATTGCAAAAAATGAGTACCGCGCCAAAGCCCATCCCACTTTTTGAGGAATTTTTTCTAAAGGTTGAGCTTGTTAGAAGAAAGGCTAAGCGCTTTTCTGGACTTTGCTTAAAAAATGCCATTGCTTCCAATGTTTCTAACAAATTTTCAACCCTGTTAAATCTTAGGACAACATTAGAAGACGATTTAATGGCTAAAAAATTATAAATTAAAAATAAAACCAACGTAAAACAAATGCTTGTTTAGTATAGCGTGAGGTTAAAATCCCCAAGTTATACTTTTCGTATACGATCTGAAAAGAACTGGAAGACAACCATACGTTCAGTTTAAGTGCCACATCCATAAACTTGTTTCGTTTCCTTCATTACAAAATTTGTTATCTTTTCAAGACGTTTTCGGCCCTCATTTGCATTAATACGCACTATTAAGTTAAATTAAGTTAATAGAATATGATTTAAGGAGGTTGAGGCCAGACAGAAAGTATCGGAGGCAAGTTTATGAAATACTTAACTTTTTAAGTACTAGGGCAGGTCCATTGGACTCTGATACAACAATTGAACATGCGCGCTAAAACGAATAAGCCTGCTAAACAATGGCTTTGGACAGAAGCGTCTCTGCTTGCTGGCCTGAAATGGATGGTTTAAAATGCAACATGTCATTACGAAAAACATCCCTTCACTTTGTGGCTTTTCAGTTGTTCCTTTTATAATCCACAAAAACTAAAACTTTGAATCCATAAAATCCCTAACATCACAGTTGCTTTTTTCAGCCGACGTCCTTGGTATTAATGTACATTTTCAGAGAACTTTGAACTGAGAGAATTTCACATAAGAAGCTGAGAGGGGGCCTGGGAAGGGTTGTGCCTCTAGGTTTATTGGGCCCAATAAGCAATACCTACAATTGGCAAGTTTAAAGTAAAAATGAGCAGGCTCTTTTCCTAAATTTATTTAATTTGGCCTAAAGTAAGCGTGACGTCACAAAAAAATTTCACGCAAGTTACGACCGGGGCACGCACGCAAGTTCTTTCTTTCTATCGTAATGGCCTCTTGATTTTTTTTCTCGCGAGGGCTTCCATATTAATGTGTTCCTAGAGCCTTACAGACAAGTCGGTGTCCATGCTTACAACAAAGTTTTGCTAACGGAAAAAAATCAACCTGAGAACTTTGCTTCGGATGTCCTAAAACCCAATGTCAAAGTACGCATCGACTGGCTAAAGCTTTTAAGACTTATAGATGTGGGAAATTTGAAGGATTAATAAGCTATGTCATAATCTAGACAAAGAAGCTACCCTTTCATGAATAGGTAGCTTGCTGTCTTTGCATAGTACAGATCAGATTGGTGCAACGAACCGTGGATAGGGTTATAGCAACCCCACAACGGCTCTCAACTCGCAAGTGGCCACTAAGAAATTCAAACAATGCAAGTAAAGCTAGACCTCTTTTTGATGACGCTGTTAAACTTTTAAAGTAAGAATTTTGTGAAATCAGTGGCAAAAACTATATTCCTACCAATTAGACTTAATACCATCAGAGCCCTGGAACAATTAACGCATTTGGAAGGTAAAAAAGGCCCCGAAAAATGAATTAAAGCATGAAAAAAGCATCAATAAATGCATGAAAAAATATCTGATTTGTCTGAAAAATATCCTTAAATTAGATTTACGACACACGAGGTGCTTCATTAAAAGGAATAAAGGCCACTCTGGGTGGTTAAAGATAGCATTTGGTACTGGCCTACCTATTTCATTAGATAACAAGAAAAATGTCCAGTAGATGAAATCATATATGATGGAATGGAGTAATATGTAAGTTGCGAGAAATTGAGCGTTTGATTATGATTCAGATGTCTTTTTCAATTAGAAATATTTTCAAAACAGCTATCAACATATCAGAATGATATTAAGTTTAAAGATATTTCAAAACAAAATTCCTTATAGTTTATGTTTTCCTGCAAAACCACCGTACAGACACAATGTAAAAATAGGTTCAAGCATTGGCACACGAACTATGAGGAGCTGTCATTACCAAACAATCTGCTCGGCCTAAAAGTTTGCAACATTAGGCCTGAAATATCACTCTTAATTTTTCTATAGAAATTATTTTTACTTAACTTTTTTATCTAATGCTTGGCAGAAAGCCTAGGAAGGATTTAGGCCCTCAAATTGAATTATCCTCTAAGTTAAAATTTCCAAATAAATTTGGTGTACATAATTCGAAAAATCTTTCAAAATATTACAAATGGATAGCTAGCTTATACAATATTATAAATACATATTTTATTGACAGGTGAAATTTTTCTTTGCAAAGGGTATGCAATGCAACCAAAACTCTATCCTTTAAAGCACTTTAATTAGTGTTATTTTTAAAAGTGAAAACAATGTTTCATTGGACCATGTTGCACAACAGTAGCGATTTTTCAAAAACAAATGTTATAAAAAAAATTCAGGTAACGCTTATTTCATTCACATATATAAAGTTATGTATTTCTTTATATATTAACTACTTTAGATGCGATACTCACATGGTCAAATGACTGGATTGCTGTTTGGGACATCACAGTTGGCAATTTTTCTCGGTTTCCATTTAGTACACTTTAGTACCTATAATAAGAGCATATCTTGTCTTAATATGTTACTTATATTAACTCTAACACTACCTGTCACAAAAAAGTATCTACTCCTTGTGAATGATATACGCTCAAAATGGATAATAGGGCTATATGGCGCTTGAGTATCAAGTAATATGAGATGGAATAAAAAACAAAAATGTCTTCCTTATCAACACAAAAATATATCTATTAGAGTTGGGCAAACCTGAAGACAGAACAGGGGAAATCGAGTGAAGGGATGTGGATGTTTTGATGGCCAAATTGTGAAAACTATTAGTGCCAACATCCTATGTCCTTTCTAGACAACTTTGTGCAACTGTTAGGGTAAACCAAATGTTAGGGTAAAGTAGTGGGGGGAGGGGGGAGCATGATTGGATGTACACCATTTATGTTGGAAAGACAGCTTCGGGCTAGGTCATGTGGGTAGAAATTTGCTTTTATGATGGTGAAACATTTCCATCACAGTTTCCAACTGCACTCCGAAACACGCAAGAGAGAATAGATCGAGTGGGGGAGTTATCATGCAGTTTTGCATTAAACTCTTTTATGACGTAGAAACTATCAAGTAGAGGAAGAAGGTTCCTAATCCAGCTCCAATGAAAATTATTTTCTTTTGAGGAATTAAGCAGTGTGCCTTGGTTGTGAGGTTGGCATCACAGTTGTAGTCTTAATGAAGAAGCCCTGATAGCATTTAGACCTCACAAGATTCATATATATTATGATTATGCAAATTTCCATTTAAAATTATTTGATCTGACTTAATCTGATCTAAGACCTGAGAATTGAGGTTTTCAATAGGGGATATATGCCAATCAACAAGAGTCTGTTCACAAGATCTTACACACATTTGATTTCATACATATTAATCAATGCATGAAAACATCGTCAAACGCGAAACGGGGACCTCGTCAGTGTTGCCCTCAGAGGTTGAGATTTTGCTTCAGAACATGTTCATGAGAAGGTAGGCAAACATACTTGACGCGATTATCAAAGCTGAAAAGATCACACAAAAGGCAAAGTTCAGTATCAGAAACAATGCTCGAGATCACAGTCAAAACCTATTAGGAACGTGCAAAGGGGCATCTAGGTTGTGACGTCATGGATCGCAGTAAACTGCCGAAGTGAAGCATTTTAGGAATTAGTTTTATAATGCAACGAGAAATATGCTAATAAGAAAGAAGGGTAAAAACGTGCCCCCTCATAAACAAGCTCCTTGCATGATTTATCGAATCCAACATAGCATTTACTGATTTATTTATAATTTAAATTTCTTGACACTGCTGTCCTGATTTCAAATTATTTGATAGCAAGTTTTTTAGGGTTGGGTCCTTTATTTTCGAAAGGTAGAGTTAATGGACACACTCGAAAATAAACATGTCATCGACTCATCGGTGTGACTAGAATCAAACCATTTAATAGTGAAATGGCAACAGGATAACTCCATTCATAACAAATTTGATGTTCTTTGCATTGCAAGCGCATGTGCGAACGTATTCGAGGCTAGCCAAGTTTGTCATCGGCAAGGAAGCTCATTTAAGGCAAATTTGTCGTTATAATAGCGAAAGAAGCCATTACACACAGATTACAGCTAACCAATTGATTTTGTCCAATAGACCTTAAGAAAATTTTTGCACTAGTCTGTCACTTTTCTGCAACAAAGTGAACCAATCGAAAAAATTTTTCCTCCCGTCAAAAAACAATTACAGGGCCGAGGAGAGCTCCCTTTTGCCCCTTCTCTAAAATATAAATCGAAAGGAAATGTATGTTTGACAAAGCCCCTCGCCCCTCTGTTGTTTGAGATCATATCTTAATGTAGCTTTGTTCAAGTTAAAAGGTGAGTTGAGAACACCAGTTTAACAGAACATAATGAAAAAAATATCAGATCAGTCTAGGGACTTCGATGATCAATCTCTTGAATAACAACCATCCATTGTTAAGCATGCTTCTTGGTCTTCGTTTGCAGCAAAGCGTATTTTCAGACAAACGAATGTCCCTAGAACACGGGTCACCAGGCGGCCCACAAGCAAATGTGTCAATTGAAAAAATATGTATAGAAGATTTCCTGGGATTGCTACATGGAAAGAGCCACGTTTGATAAATAGGTGACGTAATACCATCAATCAAGTCAAATATGGCAAGGGATTAAATTTCGACCGTCATCGTCCATAGTTCTACCTCTAATAGCATTAAATTAATCAAATTTGGTACTAACAAAAGCAGACTAAATCTATTGTTGTGACGGTTGTTTCTGTTGCTGTTTCAGGTGTTAATTTAATTTGATAACTAACAATATCTTCCTGTTGTTGGAACTTGGAATCAAATATTTAAAGCAAATCAAACCACATTTTACCACTCTCGAGGTGTAGAATGAAGTTTTATTTACATTTTTGTTGAATCTCATGCCCTGGCCGAGGGTGTAAATAAATATATACAGTATGCTATGATGTGTGTAGATTTTTATTAATTAAGAGATACTAAGGCATCAGTCTAACAAATATTTTGAAACTCTTCTTCTTCATTACGACATAAGAACTGGGCCTTATCACAATAGAGAACTTGAATATGCCTAGTGCCTAGTACTTAGAACATGAATATGCCTAGAACACTTCGTCACTCCATATCAGACAATCTAAAGACAATGCTTTTTCAAGTAGGCACTTAAAACCTATTGTATTTTTTACTTGACTATGTAAGTGATTAGAAAAAATCGTTGATCTCCGAATTTCTACTTCTATTGTGTAATTAGTGTAATTTTACAGGATTTTTATCTTCATTCTATAAATTATAACAATAATTATAATTTAATACAACCTATATTGAAAATAGTACTGTTGGGTGTAGTTACCCCGTCCACCTTCCTACCCTCTATAACTCTATACCCTTTTGTTTTGCTCGTTTAGGCCATTCGTTTGTAGACTTCTAATATACAACTCACGATTTAGGAAGTCTCTCCCCTTCCGAGTATCTTACGGCAACATTATGCGGTGCAGAGTATTCTACAATACAGCCTCTCTGTCAATATTGTATCAGACATCAACATCACTTTCATTAAGATATCCTCCCTTTTTTCTCCTCTTCTGCATTTCAGTTTTTTACAATAATCTTCTTCCTCTTCTTCAACAAAGTCACCTTCTCCTATTTCTTCTTCCTTCGTCCACTTATCCCCTGGCCTTTAGGTCTCCTTTTGAAATCATTCGGAATCCTTTCGTATTGGTGAAAATCTCGTACACTATTCGCAAGAGTGAATTTCCCCTTAGTCGAAAGCTGGTGACAAAGGCATTATTTCTGAGAATGGCAACATTTATGTGCAAAGAAATAATACAGAAGGAGGCCCAAAATATTGAAATAGGCCTAAATAAAACCTTTTTAAAAAGCTCACAAGAAACCAGAATTTTCCTTATGTCCTTAAAATCGAAAAGATGGTTACGCTCCATAATCTTTTGATATGCCTTGACATGTCGCCGACATCGAAGACATTTTGCTGGTCCTAAATGATTCAAGTTATATGCAAAAGTCACTGAGGTTCTAATAGTTTGGTGAATTCTACAAAAAGAGTTTTTCCACTGCCTTCTAGAGTACTTCTTTACCATTTTATCCGCAATATATTGTAATAAGCTTTGTTAGATTTCATTTAAAAAGGATTTCTAATCGCTTTCCAGTTGAAAAACAGTTTTGAAAACAAACAGCCTCTTGGCTTCATGCATGTTACCTTTACACTTTCTTCCTCTAAGTCGCAACCATAAACGAGTTTCATATAAATTTCTATTAATATACATTCCTCATCACAGTACAGCGCATTTTATGCAGTTTTTAAGGCTTTGAGGCTTTTCCCTCACTTATTTATTACAGGGAGACAAAGACGAAATGATCACAGTGACTGAAAATAGCCTCTACCTGGCTGGCGATTTAAATCAGAGTTGACACAAGCTCATATAGGTCTGTGAACCATCAAAGGTTAATGCCAAGTGTAATAATTGATCACAAATGCATGAGCGAATCTTTAATCGTAAGTCATACCCTTCGGTTTACCACAGCGCCACTTGGATTTCGACGTGATACCAATCGCTGTTCTGCATTAATTTTTACTAAGAAACCGCTAATAAGAAACTGAAGATGGCCTTTGAAAACAAGATGGTCCTTGGACACAATGGAACTTTCAGGTTTGACCACCTCGCTTCCTAATTTTTTTCTTTTTGATAAGGTTGATAAACAGATTGTTTGATAAAACGTGTTTTGAAAAAGCCTTGGAGCTTGAAACTGAGAAGTTGGGAGCTGATGTTGTCGCTCCTGCCGTGATTCCTGCTTTGAATTTGACTAGCTTATCTCACAATATTCGGTTTAACGTATACTATTCTTTTTACCTATATATGTTATCATACCTTTCTTTAATAGTACCGAGGCAATGTTTTGATAAATAACTGACGCTAGCAGAAAATAATCATGTTATTTAATGGAGAACATTTCTTTTAAGGTAGGAGGTTTGGTACCCAACTATATGAGCCATTTTTCAAACAACAAGGTCAAGCGTAAATTGTCGCACAGAATTTTGCAGCAGGCATCGTTATTCAAAAGATGACAGAAAAACAGAATTCTCCTTTTTGAATTCTATAACCTTAACTTGCGCATGAGCAAGATAAATGAACAAGAACAACACTGTTCAAGTGCCCAGATGCTATCGGGTGGCGAAGAAACGATTTGTGGTTGCTGTAGAGCAGGGGAGCTATAATGGGATGTGGTTACCCTAGATAGAGAGTTAATCGCTTTCAAAACAAACAAGAACAAGGAAAATCTGAAGAGACCACAATGAAATGTTACGCGCGCGATAATGATGCGATTCTTGACGGCAAAATTTAAAATATTTTGCACCATGTATACATTATGGCCTAAAGCATTGCAAAAGGATCTGGTTAGCCAAATTAAATAAAATTGATAAGACATAAACCAGTAGAATGGTTGGTGAGATAGCTATTTCATCTCAACCAAAAGGAAAACAAGAATATTGAACTGATCAGTACAACATGTTCCGATACCTAAGAAAAGGGAGTTGGAGAGGATGGGTACAGTTTCAGTGAATAATTCACTAAAGATAAAAATGAGATTGGCTGGTCACTGTGTGAGAGAAAAAAAGCCAATGTGCATCGGAGCTAATGTTATGGATGCTGATAAAAATGATTGGGGTGGAACTGCAAGTAGAGGGGAACTTACTGAAGCTGATGTGGTTCCATGGTACAGGACAGAAAAACATCAAAGATCTATTTAATGCAGTTGGTGAAAGAGAAGAGAAGAAGAATCTATGGACGGGCCTATGAAACATAACCCAAGTAAGTTTCAAGGAAACAGAATAATAAAAATCGAGGGAAATGCGAGTCTACCATCATACCGTTCTACTTTCTGTATGTAAACATGTACTATGGCCCCTTGAATGCAAAGGAGTCTGGAACGAGACGTAGGTTTGAAATCTAAACATATTATTTTTGTTCTAATTTGTTTTCCTCTATGTCACTTCATTTCAAACTTTTCAAACGCAATACCCAAGTTTGAAGTTACAAACGTAAAATACTACTGTTATTTAAACCTAACCAAAATCATTACAGAAACTCCTTAAGGTAGCTCTGCCAATATCCATAAGAGTCAACTGAATTATGGATAACATGGTTAGAGTCTACGTATATAACAGTTTGGATTCATTGCTACTTTAAACTTTAAGAAGTACCACGCTAAAAAATGGTAAGTTTGATAGCAAAATGAGACTTATTTACACGAAAGTACACGAATACACGAAAACTGGGAACAGTTGCCTCTATCGTGAAAAATAAGTCTCTAACCATACGTCTCCAGTAGAATTTGGTCATTTCTTTTAAGGTCATACGAAAAATGCTAGCTTGAACGCATTTATTCTACCCTTTACGAAAACTCTTCCTGACATAAAGTTCTTTGTCTTTTAACTACCTCCGCTTATTAGATCATTAAATAATAACATATGTTCAATAGGTAGGTGCGTATAGGCAAGCAAAATATCTAAGAAAAAGGTGTTATTGATTGAATTGTTCAAAACACTCTCGCTAGAATTTGAAATTAATTGAATCTCAATATTCTTCAAAAGAAATGCATGAACTAGTGACCTGAAATTGGCTTCATGAATGCAGCATTATACACTTTCAAAGACAAGCTATCACATAAGTTCCTGCCATGGAGAAAAAGGAACGTCAATACAATGCGCGCTTCCCTCTCGGAAGGAGCAGCAACCTTAATAGTGGTCGGCCTCCTTGAATGACGTCACCCAATGAGTAACTGGAAAACTGCCTACTTCCTTGTTTGAATAACTTACAAATGTTTATTGCCTATTCGATCAGGAATTATGCCTCTAATTAAAACACAGGAGCGACACATCTGAAAAGACTATGGTTTGACGGCAACGCAATGTAATCAAAAGATCATCGTCCAATAAAATATGGACGGCGAATTTCTAACGTACGAAAAAAATTTTTTGATTGTATATCAAGTGAAACACTGATTTCGTGAGAAAGACAAAGTGCAAGTTGTTAATGAGTTTCAAACAAGTTGTTCAGTGTGGGGATACTATGGGGTGACCTCACCTCTCCTAAATATCAGGAAAAATCAAGACTAAAATCTCATACAACATAGATTTTTGTGTTTTAAAAATCACCCCCTACCTAATTGGTCAGAAGCTTGTGTCTGAGAAAGGATAAAGTTAGTAATAGGTTTATGAGATAACTTATTTCATAGTAGCTTACGAAATGGTTGTTTACCAGCATTTGAAGGGTGTGGTTTAAAAAATGCCAAACTGGTTAGGAGCTCAGTAACTACTACGCATGCTCTGTTATTGCAAAGACGGGGGTGGTATCAGAAGACATTACGTTATTAATATCTAACAAAGAAGCGCAAGTTGATAAGGGCAAATAAAGAGCATCCTTCCTTCTAGCGTTGAAAAATTCGTTATTATTGTAGTGCGCTTCGGCCGTAGGTTTTCCCGAGTGAAACACCTCAATCAGGAAATGTCTTTTCTTCGTAAATTTTATTGCTAATTTACACATTAACGTCATTTCATGGCGCTAATTAAAGTCACCTTTTCCTAGACGCAGTAGGAATTAGAACTAAACAACAAAAGGGCTAACAAAGAAAGCAACATTTATTATATAATGAAACTGCAGAAAATGAAGAACCGCAACGAATATTGAAAATGCTGGTATTAAACACCTAAAGACACAAAATTCTTCAAGTTTATTAAAGCATTTCTGCGTGAAAAGACCCTATCTTTAAAGCCAGGTGATAAGTCAATAACAGAACACCATTTGACGATATGTATGGATTTCTTTTGTATAACTGCAATGACTAAGCTGTGACTGACATAAAAGCATTTACAAAATATACTCTTCGACAAGCCTTGTCGTCATCTTAACGCCTAAATCTGTCACTCCTGTGGTAGCAGCGACTGTTATTTCATCTCAGAGTTTAATAGCCCAGTTACAATTAAAACTATATACATGTACTAACTGAAGTGTATAAACCGTCTTGCTTTCATTAAAATCACAGAAACAGTTCTAACTTCAAACTGCAAAGGTATTTCTCAGAAGAAAAAAATAGATTTTCTTGTGTCAGACATAGGACTAACAAAGACCAACAGCCATTTCTGCAAATTCAAGCGTAATTATCATAATGGTAACTGTTGTGAAAACTCCTTCTGAATAAATAAACACAAACAACTTTTAAATGAGGCAGATTCCAGGTCAGAAGATAAAAGGCAACATTTTGACTTGGGAGAATCATAAATGTACAAAATAGAGTTACGTGATAATGATAAAAATATGAATTTTAAAGACGAGCCCCCGACTTCCGGGGCATCAGGGCAGCCCCTTGTATTTTCCTTTAATCCTTGAGGAGAAAACGCAGTTTTAAAGACTAGCATATCATCCTTTTACATATATTTAATATAAAAAGTGTCCCTTTTAAGCCTCAGTACTTCGCCGCATGGATAAACTTTCTTGGGATCTAATGAAGATTATAAATTTACGAAATGAGATCAAAATTCCCTGGGTCTACAGCAAAGACATCTTGCTTGGCCTAAGAATTATTGATTTATTAAATGGAAATTTATCATGTGGGAAATATTTATTAAGCTTCTTCAAAGTGCTTATCAAGTGAAATTCTTTGTTCATTGGCATTCATGTGAGATGATATCTTGATGATTGGAATTTAATTATAAAAGGTCTGGTACCCATAGCCTGTGTTCCACACCCTTTACCTTCGAGCTAGGTACCTAGAATTTTACCCAGGCATCAAAACTGGATATTCAAAAGTTAAATTGTTCATTTTTACAGGTGAATCCGTGGCCATGCATAGATCAACAAACTGTAGATTCCAATTACAAATATGATTACGAACAGCTACAATTATTGCAGCATCAATCGATGGAAAAGGTACAAAGGAAATGGGCTTGAGTTTGTGAAGGTAGCACTGAACCCATGGTTTCAAACGAAAACTGCTTAGAGTATGTTTTAAATCTTTATCACTATGACTGAACTCACTGATTCACAGAGGATGGGAGAATAGACGTGTTGAGTTAGACTTAAACACCAAAGTTTAAACGAAAAGAATCAAGAGTTAAAAAGCATCAATTTCTTCAAAGATTACTTTGGAAAAACGTTTTCAAACAGATCCGCATAGGATAGAAACTTAGATGAAAGAAGAAAAAAGATCCATATAGGATGCAAGCATGCATGTGCATTTGAGAAGAAGATAGGACTGAATAGAGTAAAATGCGAGGACACAGAATTTGTGGTCCGGGGGTATTCAATAACTGTCAACTCTGCACTGCAAAACTTGAACCTAATTCATATAGGATGGAAGCCTAAATGCGTAATCAAGAAAGCATGGGATACGATATGAGTAAAAGTTGTTATCTATCGAATCATAGTCAAGATTACTTTGTTGATCAGAACTGAGCAGATCCACATAGACTGCAATGTTGGATGCGTGCAGAGAAGCTTGCACTCACAAGTCAAAAGAAAAGGATAAGGACGCAAGAATCATCAACTTCTAAAGCACTGTCAATAATTTTTTTGGACAAATTATGCTAAACAGATTCACATAGATAGCAACATGGAAGATGTTATGAAGTCAGGGGCGTAGCTTCCGGGGAAAATGTGTAGAGGGATGTGGCACCTCCTAATCCTTCATAAGTTAGTCGAGAAATCTTCTGCTAGTCCACAAAATCTTAAGTTGGTCGGTAAAATCGCTTTTTATTGGCAAATGAAATACCATCAAAACCTTTCTTCATATATGTCTTCATCGGTAAATTTACTCTTGATGACCCCCACACACCTAGTCCGGTAGGCCAAGCTATGCCATTGAAGAAGATAGCATTAAATCCAAAAAAGTAAAGTGTAAGCAAGTATCAAATCTCTATAAAGATAAAGTTTGACAATCTAGACTAAATTGATATCACACAGAACATGAGGATATAATCTAGTACGCGTTGGTATAGACAAACAAGTAGATCAATGCCTTAAGCTAATTAATACTTCATTTCTGATGACATGGGTGAAAGAGCTATCTGCAGTAGTGTAAACTTTCCTGGTTCTTGCTTGAGTAGAAATTAATGAAGAAATTGATACCATCACTCACATCAAGAGCTGTCTGCAAATTTGTTAAGGTTCAGGTCAAACCTGTTCAAGACGTGAGCCACTCACAATCTCAAATATCAAAATATCAAATATTTTCTGTCATTCGCTTTCGTACCGGAATGACAAAACGTGAAACACTACTCATGTCCAACTAAGAATGCTCAATGAATACCAGCTAACTTATTATACAGTTTGCTGAATGTGACACAGAGGCGAAGAAATGGATTCTTTTACTCCGGGAACGATATATCTTATCGATAGCTTTAACAAAATGCCAGGCTTTAGCTGCTACTGTTATTGCCCCCCCCCCCCCTTTCAAAAAAGTACGAAAATCATTCCTTTTGTTCCTATTGCTCTCAAACAATAGTGCCCCTAATAATTCGAATGACTAAGCAAATGAAAAAATCCCGGGCCTTAGTTTCTCTATTACGATAAACCGTATCGAGATGGCTATCTCAGTACATAAGTGGCGACATTTTCATTGACTAACATATGTTGAAGTCTTCTCAAGTTTAGGCTTCTAAGCTCGTCACCAAATCTAATTTGTTCCCATTACATGCCTAGCTGAAATTCATTGCAAGAATAACAAAGATAGCTTTGGTTGATACGCAGGATAAGATAATAGAGCTTTATAACACTAGTACTGGATTTGGTGGGCTAAGACGTTCAGAAATCAGACACAATTATTAGTTATTAGTGAACAAATGTGGAGACAGATAATACATTAACATAAAAGTAAGCAGAATAAACCAGCATATAAGATAAAAGGGATGGCTCTTATCACTAGGGACAAAATTAAAAGACACACCACAATGATTCACTGCTGATTACATTGAAACTTTAATAAAGCGGGAACCTTTTGAGACAAGAGCTACTGGCCGTTATTTGCGGGGTGTTCGTTATAGAGTAGTATTCTTTATAGAGAGGTGTCTGTTAGATGGAGGCATTCCTTGTTGAGAGGTGTACTTTGAAGGAGGGGGTCTGTTGTAGGGGGAGGTATTCGATATAGGGGTAGGTATCTGTTATAGAGGAGTACCTGTGGTACAGAAGATTCCGTTTGAGAGAGGTTGTAGGGAGAAATCAATTGTAGAAAGGTGTCCATTTTATGGAGGCATCCATTATAGGGAGTGGTCCATTTTTAGGGAGGGGTCCATTTTTGGGAGGGGTCCGTTTTTGGGAGGTCTTCGTTGTAGAGAATTACTGTTATAATAATATGTCACGTTTGCTTACGTTGAAGAGTCTTCGATAATTGTAATATTTTTCCAGACTGCCTCTTATCCAAAACGAGGATAAGTAAAGTTTGAGTTCTATCGAGAGTACTTCTTTCCACAAGTGATAATACATCTGAATGAATGTATCATGTCAGTGAATAAACCTTGATGGCTCAGATGGCTCGTTTAATGATTCTTGAAAATTCGTTTGTTACTTTGACTTTATATCTTTGCTGTTGATTGATTAGCTGTATCAATTCATATTAAGCTCTTTTGATAAGCTGTTTGTGTTTGGTACCTAATAATTTCATATCGCTGTTGATCGACTGAGTACTATCGAAGACGAGACCATAGTCAGTTCTCGTTTACTCGCTTCTTGCTCTGGGCAAAAGGGCTGGAAATCGCACTTTTTATTTGGCAGCAGATGACGCCAGGATCCAGGAGTGTTCTAGCCCGAGTAACGCCGACCATATCTTATACATAGGGACCCTTTTGGCTAAAAGCTGTATTATTAAGATTCTTGAATTCAACTGTAGGCATCAAATAATTGTTTTCTGTCATACGCTGAGTAGGGTCCCTATGTTCGGGCCACGATTTCTGGCCGTCTTTAGACATCCCCCTGCTTACACACCTTAGGTTTAGTTAGGCTTACGAATTTGCATAAAAAACGTTGTAGCCTTAGCTGTCACATTCAAGGAAAATGATAAGTGTGTAAGCAGCAGCCTTGGTAAAGCTGAAGGTGTTGTAGGTTAAAGTAACACATAGTTGTGGCAAGCCTAAAGCTATTCTGTTTACACCACATGTCACGAGCAAGAAACTCATGATCAGGAGCTAAACATACAATTTGTGATTACACAGAGTACTATAAACCTGAATTTTCACAAAAGCGTCCCATCCAGACAAATACCGTGTTTCAAAACCGTCTTGCAGTAGGAAGATCTACAACAAACTTGTAACATCCTTCCCCGTCCCCCACCCAAATCACCACCATCGCCCCCCCCCCCAAATCACTACTACAGCATCGTACATGCCCTTGTCTGACTATCAATATAGGATATTTCCTGATTTGAGAGTCCTTGTCGACTGATAGAGCGAGTCCGGGTCCGGGTAAGTACCTGGATTATCTAAAGTTTATACGTCAGAGGGAGTTTGGTTGACTGGCATGAGCGGACCATGAGCTCCCTACAGTCGTCCCCTGTCAAGGTTCGTTTTGTCTGCGCAGAAACAAGATTTGCACCAAAGGGTACATACTAATATATGAAATGGTTTGAAGGCAAGCTATCTTCTGAGCTAAGCGGTACTTGAAAAGCAAAGGGGTCGAGTAGTATCATCTGTCGAAAACAGAAATGCTATCACTGGAGCCGTAAGAAAGAGGTGGAGCACAAGAAGCAGATTGAAGTTGATGATAACTCCCATTTAGTTGATCATAGGATTACAGTTTCAAAGCAATGTCACAGACAAAACCGAGACGCCAGTATCATGACGAATAAAGTTACAAGGAGAACTCTTTCGATGTAAGGAAACCTTGAAACTAACTTTTTAACTTAAGAATTCAAACCTTTTTGTTAAAGTCATTCACATCTTGCATTGTACCTCTCCCGTAGTACCAAACTTTTAAAAACATTTCGAAAGCCCCTACCCATTAAAGACTCTTGGTGGGACAAAACAGGCCGAACCCAAATAAGAACATCAATATTTTTTGCAATGTAGCATTTATCGATTGGTTGCACAAGAAATAGCAGGGTAGTTTCCCCCTTACCCCCTTGCCCCCTTCTCAATCAGTCTGAAATATTTTTGGCAACAATGAATTAGATACGCTCAAAGTCAGTTTCAAAAGTTCGCATTCTCTCATCTGTTTACGATGAGTTAGTTTGGGGTATGAAGGTAGAACCAGGGCGGTATTGGTGCCTGGTGGATGCCAAAATCCTCTTCTATTCACTGTTTGATAAACCAGATTCAACCAAGTGAACAATTTGGTTTATTAAGACAGAGAGTCCGAATACTGGGATTCAACCTAACGACCTTTTGAACAGTATCTAACTATCTCCCGATCTAACCATCATTGAACTATTTAATCTTAAAGATGAATGAAATGGACACATACTTGTTAAATATGGGCGTTTTGAAGGCAAAACCGTGGTTTACATTCTTCAGGCGTTACTTCTTGGATTTCATGATCACCTGTAAATAGCAATTAAAAAATTGTTTGAATTCACTTAAGAAGGTTTGGAACCAAACCATAAAACAAATACATCAAAGCAGAAGGAGTAGTTCCGGAGCTTTCTATGCGTAAGTGCCATTTTTACAGAGAAAGACCAAACCATAACTTTCCATGTTAAAGGCAATCTGTCACGACGTTGATTGATTATGAGAACAAAAGGATTTTTTTTTGTTTCCAGTTTTCAAAAAATGAATTGAACTTGAGCGAAGTCTTAATTTGGGGGCAATTTTGATCGGTGTCCTGAATTCTACTATGCCACAGCTTTGAAAGTTGTGTTATTTACCTATTACATGGTAACAGGCAGTAACAGAAAGATAGCCGGATGGATTGGTTAAGAATCCATTCTGCCGTACATAGCTGAACATAACAGTGTTATATATAGAGTCCATTCCCATTCCAGCTTCACTCTTGCTAATCTCGGTCATCTCTACCAGTTATTCCCAGGCTTGCTACCCGGGTTTTTGCGCACGTTACAAAACCTATGATTAAAAACGTCATATGTACGACAACTTGTGTTTTTTTCCTCGTTATAAACAGCTGCTTATAAAATATACAAGCAATTCCTGCATTCACATTTCCCACAAAATATCGCCGAGCATCGAGTCGAACTACTTTCTTTCTGTACTATTTCTTCTTCTGTATCTTCTCATTCTGAAACTCCTTCTTCTGCTCTCTCTTCTTTCTCTACTAATTCTTTTTCCCCTCCGTTTTCTTTATTCAAATTTCTTCTATTTCCAATTTCTTCTTCTTCTATTTTAACTTCTTCTGTTGCTTCCTCCTCTATTGATACTTCCTCTTCTGCTTGTTCTCCTACTTTTACTACATCTTCTTCTTCGCCTTTCTATCTTACTTATATTTCTTCTACTTCTTCTGTTTCTTCTTCTTTCTTTTACCCCACTACTTTAAATAAAATTTTCTTCTTCTTTTCCTTACACTCCTTCTTCATTTATGTACGTCTTCTATTTCACTTGCATCTTTTACAGCTATTACTTCTACTTAATCTTCTTCTGCTGCTTCCTCTTCTTCTTTATCCCCGTCTTCTTCTTCTACTCTTACTTCTTTATCATTCTCGCTGTTATCCTTTTCTCCTTGGGGGGCACCTCTTCGAGTTCTTTGAAGCTCCTAAACAATCCTCTCCATCTCTGACTATCAAGCACTTTTCATTGATGTATTTCTATGTCTAACATACCCTTTGCTTCAAATAAACGCACCCCTCCAACAAATGTCAATCCTTTCTACACAAAAATTAAGATAAACGCTGCGTTCCATCAAACACCTCCTTTTTATAAACAACTCATCAAATGCCTCCAATAAACGCCATTGGTAAGTACAAAACAGTAACCAGCGAGGTTTCTGAACATTGTACAGAGTAAATTTCGCAGGTTTTATTAGGCCCCTGAGAAATCGAAACCTTGATAAAATTGACCTCGCCCCTTCCCCCTTCCATAGAGGTATAAGCCCTGGACCTGTTACTAATATAATCATGCCTCCACGTAGCAAACGCTTGAGTGACTCACAGTCAATTCTGCTTTGAGACTTCTTATGTTAAGGATAGTTCTATTTTGAAAAGCAATGCTTTATTGGGGGTAAATCATATGTACTGCAAATAAGCAGCATTCAACAGACGGCTAATGATGACAGTTACAAAAAATGGTGCTTGAAAAGTTACCCCAGGATAATCAACAACCCAGCTCAACTCAACTCAAATATAGTGTTGTTATGGTATACTTAATTATTCACTTGACTCCTGAAAGCATGCTCTGAAGAGAGAAGGAACAAAGCACCGCAGAGGGACTTGGCTGAGATGATAGTATCAAATGTCATTAAGATAGTGAAACACGCACGGCTATTTTACTAATCAAGGAGAAACTGAAGTTTATGATCAAAATAGTGTGACAGAAAATTTCATAGTTGGCTTGAATCACAAAGACAGGAAGGGCACTGTCTGCAGAATTTAAACAATTATTCGATAAAAAGATCATGATTTCTTTGTTGAGGATTCGAGGAAATAACGGATATTGGTTGTTTGCATGTAGCTCCAAGGGCAGAGTTTTATGACCCTAACAGACCGTAGAAAAAACCCTAAGCAAAAGGAAGGAGGAGAAACGGAAGTATTAATGAATGCATGGCTCTTGACTGATTGGGGGGAGACGTTTTGTACTTAATTAGATCTACACAATCTCGTCACAGCACGTTACTGTGTTTGTTCCTTAAAAATTTGTTTATGATAGAGTTTTTATTTAGGTATAGATGTGCACACATATGAAGAAACGAGAAAAAACTTATCACAACAATCATAGTACTATAATTGCAGAGAAATTAATAAGGTTCCTGTACCGGCTCAAAAACTTAACGAAATTCAGTTCGTTTCCAGAAATTCAGTGCGTTTCAGCAAAAAAGGTCGTTTCCAGAAAGGCACTGTTAAAGATTCAACTTTAGAGTTAGAGATTAAATTAAGACTGCCTGTTATCTCCGCAGCAATTGAGCGACTATCTAAACTTAGAAATTTCTGAAATGAAAGTGATGATATCCTCAACATGTTAAAAAAGATCAAATCTGGCGTCTTGTTGCACAGTAAGAGATAGCAGTAGCTTTGTCAGGAGCGACTACAGTAAAAGTTAAGAAGAAAGGTAAAAAACAAAAAAGCCCGAAAAACGTTTGGCAGCCCAAATACGCGAAAACACTGGAACGCCTTAAAACATTCTGGAGCGGAAATCTAAAGATCGTTCCAAATGGAAAGATTGTGGCTCTCGAAGGAATGTGTAAAGACCCTGAGATCCTGAGATTTAGTTGCTTAAAGAAATATGTGAACTTTAAGTTATGAAAGGATGATTAAGTAAGTTGTGTACTCCTTCTAAAAAATTTGCTCTTACTGCAAGAGCAAAATAAAGACAAGAACACTGGAAGAGAAAGTCACGAATAACTGTTCAGGGCAATTTTTGATGAAATACCGATGATAGTAGGTGAAACTTTCAAGACCACGTCTTGAGTTGGAACAGAAACTCTAAAATACCAAATTATAAATGGATTCCGCGACAAAACCTCCTACTTGCAGGTTTATTCATTTCCAATGTTTTCAAGATATGATGAAGGAATTTATAATCTTGAACAGGGGTTATCCATCAGGGGCAAACGATGAAGAGGCAATCACGGAATACTCATCTAGAACGGAAACCAAAAGGGAAATGTGCTGACCACATCGTGACTTTATCTAAGAAACTCAGTAAATGCGGTCAAATTCAGGTCGCAACTCTTAACAACGCAAGTCATGAATTGAAAAAAATACGATTTACTACTTTGGCAGACCAAGAACAGTTCGTCAAAATTCATGATGTTGTTCCACTCAAGCAGGAGATTCGGTAGAGATAAGGCATGGCTCTCGGAACGAGGATCATTCAAAATGGTCAGCGACTAGAAACATTCACAATAGCAGTTTAAATAAAAAAATTGTGATCTAATGAGGCCAGGGACGCAACTGACTGATGTTTTAGGGGCTGAACCACTTAATTTATTTGATGGCTTGGCGAAATCTGGCTTGCTTTAGACACCCAAACTCCAAACAAGTTTGCCTTCGAAAAAACATCGCCCTCCTTACTGGCACTGTGTCTCCGGGAAAAATACAGTGACTTGTGAACGGGTCGCTTCTGTTTATTTTCAATATTTATTTCAAATAATCTCGTTGGGTCAGTGAATCGAAAAATGAAAACGGAGATGCATTAATTATTCGGGATCCAAAACCAGGTTTTTTTCATGGTCTCAGTGTCGCTAGATTAAGACGAAAGTGGGTTCAATTAGCAAATGGGGGGGGGGGGGGGGGGCGGGGGGGGGCATTAAGTGTCGATTCGAGGCTACTCAAACAGAAAGCACTGTGGAAAAGAAACATGTAATAAATTGTTGAGCTGGCTGCTGGGGCTGGCTGCAACTTCAATTCAAAAAACTCAATTCGTCAAAGACCTTGTTTAGCTGTCCTTGACACCGGGTAATCCCTGCAGAGGCCCTCATTGAATCAAAACCGATATGCAGGCAAAATTTCATTTCTCCTCTTCCATTTTCAGAAAAATCTAATGAATTTGCAACTGCAAAAAGGAACATCTGTTGTTTGATTCCAATGAATGAATGAAACGAATTTCAAATTGGAAATCCCATTAAATTGTAAAAATAGAAGTGATTTTTTATCACGATCTACTTATTGATTAATATGCTTTAGATGACACCGTAGAATAGGCCCACTGAGCATCATTTCAGAGAGGTTCCCGTTGGCCGTTTCAGGAGTACTTTGTTCGGCAAGATACTGCCCAATTTAGACAAAGAACGTTTCAAAATATAACAGATTTTATGATAAATTCGAGAGGAAGCAAGCTGGCGCAGCTAAATGAGATTTATAGGAAAGACTTTCCATGTGACAACATTAACAGATAATGGAGATAAAAAGCTGGGCTTTTTCTTTCATGTCATATTTGCAAAATACGAGCTCTTACTGTTGATTCAATCACGACTTGACCATACAACCAGCTTGACCTCAGCTTCTCAACTATTTCCTTCGTCTGCCAAAATCTTACTTTGTACCTAGGCGTGATTTATTTCCTGTTTTTCGCTAAACTCTACTTTAATTTTTTACTTTACAAATGTAATTAAGTTTAAGCTAATTATATTCAATCCACACAACTATGTTTCGGACTTCAAACGTGAAATGCAAAAAGTAGGAAGCCTGTCTGCTGACGTCAACAAATTAGTCATGTACGTTCATGTGCGATATGTTCGATTGGGGCAAAGTTCCTGAATGTCGGGTAGCCTCCTCAACGTGACCAGCTACCTTAAAAATCACCTAGCAGGTTAGAATAAGGTATGGACTGCGTGCCTTTAACTGTTTTTTGGGTATTTTTTCAGAAATTTTTTGACTAAAACTATGCTGGAATTTATGTACTTTCATGTTAATGTTGATGTCTGTAGCGGAAAATTC